ATATGCAAAATGTAATATGGCCAAATAAAAGTATTTAAATATTTAGACCTTTTATGAAGCCAAAAGAGAACATTAAAATGAAAAGGAAAGTATTAGACTATAAGAAAAGATTTGTGATAAATGCGATAGGTAAAACCAGGATGTTTAAAGTACATGAAGGAACTTACCCAGCAAAAAACACCAAATCCACAGTAAACAAATGTTTAAGGCATATGGATACAGAGTCCACAAAAGAGAAACACGTAATAAATAGGTGGAAGACGTTCACCCACACGTGTGAATTTAAAGGATAGTGAGCTACCAGCTCACACCTTTTGAATATGAAGAACGATGCAAAGGCTCTGGGAAGCTATGAAAAGTACTCATAGCTGGTATCATTATAAAGATTATAAAGTGATCCATCTTTTTGTACAAGCAATATGACAATATGTAGTTTGCGCCAGAAAACTGTACCTACCCTTTGACTAGAAATCTAATTCCTGAGAATTTGCAGACAGGAAATTATTCAAAAAAATTAAAAAGCTTCCAATAGAGAAATATTATACAGCATTATTAAAAATTAATTAAGGAGTTACTAGATAGGTAACCAGTCTCTACCCAAAAAACTAAATGTCAAAAAGTCCAAAGTCCTTCATAGGTCCAGGAGGGCAAAGGTAGCATAATTTGGGTGCCATGTGCCCCTGCTGGCAGCCCAGGCCTCCTGACTCCCCCATACTTTGAAGGTCTGGCTGAGTCACATTTTAGACTTTGATATGATGTATGCAATTCTTTTGTTTGCTGAGGGACAAGATGTGCCCTTTGCACATCAGAATTGCTAAGTAAAGTTGACGATCTATCTAGTACAATATGATCATCATTTTGCAACCCTGTGGTGCTTATCCTATGCTTTGTTATGTAGAACACAGTCAGGTTTAGGGGTATCTGATAAATACATATAACAGCTTTTCATTCCCCCTCAAACATGGTAATGGGAACAAAGCCAACTAGAAACCGCCTGTTAGTCAAACAGTGAAGCAGAAGAAGGGAGGTAGAATCTCTTCAAAAGTTAAAGGTTTTAAAGTATAATAGTTCTCATTAATTAAAATATCAGGAGGCAATTGGTGTATTCTTGAACGTTTGTTGAAGGGATGATGATAAGTGAAAACAAGCATCAAAGGCATAATGACCAACTTAGTGATCCTGGACTCTGGTTTCAATGTCTTCACCCTGCGAAGGCCTGTCCTCCTCTCTAGATTTCCACCCTGTCCCCATTGGTGATGACGATCATCCTCCCATAGCCATTTGGGTGCTTGGATGTGTGCCTCCCCTGTGTGAGTATCTGTGTGTAAGACGCTCCCAGAGTTAACAACTCATATACCAGGCACCACTATAGGAATGAAGTGTTCCACATAAGCATATTTTCCAAAAATAATAGAAATCTATATTTTTAATTTATTATGTTCCATGTGCCCCTGGTTTCCTAAACAGAGCATAATCATCAATTTTTAATGATGACAATTTTTTCAGTTCTGAATCTTAATCTTAAAGTTGCTAAGGTTAAGATTATTGATCCTTGACCACTCTGTGCGTGTACGTGTGTGTGTGGTGCACTAGCATAAACAAAATGTGACATACTGGTAACTCCTAATGGTAACATAATTAGTGGGAAAGAAAGAAATCTTTGCCTAATTACATAGATGAAAAATGCAAAGTCAAATTTAATATAGTAAATTGACTTAAATTATCTCAAAAATAAATTTAAAATGTTTCAGGCCAACACCAATAGTTGTGTTTTAAGTAAAGAGTAATGTCAGGGCTTTTTCTTGTTAGTTACTCAAAGGCTGATTCTAGATCATTATCTTTCTACATGTATCCATGGGCTGCCAGAGGCCTAAAGTATTTTATGTTGAAATTAGTACAGTGTAGCCTTTTTTTTTTTTTTTCTTTCCTGGATGTTGGTTAAGTCAGTTTCTGCAATCCAGTAAGCACCAGTGTCAGAATCAAAACCTTTCATTTTCTACATGTAGCTACAAAGCCCCACCTTGTCTTTGGTTTGTAGTTCTAACAAAGACATATTGGAACAGCTTTGTTTGTGGAAATAGGTTCATTTTAATCTAGCCTCATACTTGTGTGTGCCGTATGACAAGTGTCTGGCACGTGCACTGTTGTCCTGTTCCTCACCCTTGGCAGACATAATGAGTTGATCAGACTTGGCCTTATGTTCTTAGTGCTGCAGGCAGCCTAGGGGGGGTTATGGGAGTTATTTGGAATTAACTGTTTTGCCATCTCAGCCCTAGATTGATACGGAATAGTCTGTTGGCTATCCATCTTCTTGTTTAGGGCTAAATGCACTAAAATAAGAAACTGACATGAAAATATGGTTTTATAAAAGATTATTTAAAGGGGCCAGGTGTGGTGGCTCATGCCTATAATCCCAGCGCTTTGGGAAGCAGAGGCAGGAGGCTCACTAGAGGACAGGAGTTCAAGATCAGCCTGAGCAACATAGTGAGACCCACATCTCTACCAAAAAAAAAAAAAGTCAGGCCTGGTGGCGTGCACCTGTAGTCCCAGCTATTCACAATGCTGAGGCAGGAGGGACCACTTAAGCCCAGGAGCTGGAGAATGCAGTGAGCTATGATCATGCCACTGCACTCCAGCATGAGTGACAGAGCAAGACCCTGTCTCTTAAAAGAAATTAAATACAGATTATTTAAAGGGGTGGATTGTTTCACGAGTCAGCCATATCCAGTGACCTACCTTAGCCAGATCTGCTTGCACAGGAAAGAACAGAAGGGAGAAACCTGAACAGGCTGCGCATGTGGCATGTGGGTGACTGGATCTGTACCGACAATGTGCGTGAAGTTCATGCTCCTGTGCCTTCTTTTCTGATGGCTTTGTTTATGCCATTGGTTCCATGTTAGCAGTCACTTGATTACTGTATACTTATCACAGAAATAAGCTAGAGGGGCATAAAGCTTCCACTGGAAACTGTCACTAAGATTCGCTATTTTATAAAGTAGTTTAGCGTCTGTACTTAATCAAGTAGCGTTCAGTTTGCATTTCAACCTCCCACGCTTTTCAGATCCAAAGTGAAATCATTTTTGTGAGGTCACATTACTGGCAAAACTCTGTTTTTGGCTTCTTGCCTCCTGACCAGTAGGACCTTGTTTCTCCCCAGGGAACATCTCAATGGCTGCCCGTAGCAGATTCTGTTGCTGTCAGATATTTGGGTATTTTATCAATTAAGATAAAAATAGATGAAGCACACCAAGACGTTTCCACCAGGCATTTAGACGTGACCATCAGACCCAAATATACTAAGAAATATAGAAATATAACTGAGCTATCACTGGGTTGCATAAAAAGAGGATGAGTCAATGGGACTCCTTTAAAAGGAGAGAAAAGTAAACTGTCCATTTTCTTTTGACCTTCCTTTTTACCCAGTAATTAAATTCACTGTGGAAAAAAGTTACATCTCCTGTTGATTTTTTTTTTTTTTTAAGTGTCACATGTTCCCTTATTTGGGGCCCTCGCAGAACAGGGGGTTATGTTGGACACTACAGCAGCCCAGACCTCCCCACCCATCCCCTAGAGCAGCTGAGCCCCAGCCAGGATCCCCTGCATTTCTTCCCCACTTGTGCCATGCACATTGCATCGTGTGCACAAGTGGGCGATGCCCAAATTACGCTGTTAATCTTCATTAAATTGCAGAGTATTTCATCATATGCAAAAACCCTGCTATTCAGTGCCAAATTAGTAACATGATTGTCTCAGGAATGTATAGTTACAGAATGTTCGTCTTGTAGAGGACTTGACACATGGAGACTTACAGAAGGGTTGGTTGAAGGTCATCTGCGTGCCTGGGAAGGGACACATGGCTTCTCTGCGTGGCTGGAGAATGCCCTGTGCATTGGATCGCTGGGTGGACTCAACGTGACATCCAGGAAGGCCCAGGCCTCTGTTAGGGCACCAGCTGTGCCTTCAGCACCAAACCCATGGCTTGAGCCCTGGTTTTCTTTCCTGCACTCCTGGAAGCATCACCATGGCCATCCTTCTTAATTAACTGGAAGCATGTGACCTTCCACAGACCAAACGAGCAGGTAGCCTCATTAGCAGGCTCATCCAGCAGCCGGAGGGAGACAGAGTGGGATAAATTAAGAACAGAGCACTCCTGACACAGGCCCAAGTGTGCTCTCCTCACACCATGACTCCATTTGCAGGAAAAGGACTGCCACAGCACTGACACGCCTCCGTGTCCCTCCGATTCCCACTGTGGGTGCATGCGTGTGCTCAGAACCCAAGGAGAGACACCGGGGCATGGGGGGCATAGATCACTGCATAGATTGCCTGGTTCTCACTTCCACATGGTTCAAAAGCAGGACTTTTTCTGCATGCCAGCCAGTCAGCATTTCTGGACCACTGTTCGTAGTCAATGCTCAGCCCCAGAGCTGAGCCAATCTGGTACCCGTTTGCTTTCCTGCCCAGCTCTTGAAACATGAAATGCTACATTCCTGGTGCTAAATAGAGTAAGACAAGGCATCGTAGGCATACTGATCATGGGTACTACTGCTATAGATACTGCGCCCCTCAGATCTTTTGTTAAGGGTGTCTAGTGAGAGTGCTCTTAGCTAATCTCTCTCACCGCCACTCTCTTCATATTCATGGAGTGAGTCATTTAAGGAAACCCAAAATTGTGGTGTGTGCTCATGGTTGGATCTGTGTGTATGTGGTATGCCACTTACCTTTGTTGTACGTTACAGCCCCACTTCCAACCAGGACAGTTAAAACATGAAATGTGTCATCTCACCACACTGTTTGGTGTTACATCATCCTGACTCTAGAGGACTTCCTCTGGTTTCTGTCTCTTTCCCTCACTCACACACACACACACACACACACACACACACACACACACACTCTGTTTCACGTGGCCCCATCACATGGGCCTTATGTGGGCCCCAGAGATTCCCAAGTACAGAGGGATACTCCCATTCATAGGAAAATTCTAAATCTTATTTCAGGTCTTGACTCAGATGAAGAACTTGGGCTGCTCTGTCACCACTCGTCCTATCTAGGTGATTGTCTGGGGCTGGTCGGTGGCTCCTCATACCCCGTAACCTTTTCTGTATCTTTCATGTGTCTGCACGTCTGCATGGGTAGTCATGCTCTGGGGGCTGGGGGTGCACAGGGGGACATGTGCCCTGGCTGTTCTGTCCCAAGAATGTTCTCCTGGTTTGGGGACAGCTTGAGGAGAGGTCCCTGTCCTTGGTTCTGTTGACCAGCCGAGTCATCATGCAACTGTTGTTCATGCATAACCGGCAGCTTTGGCACTTCTTTGGGATGTGGAAAGAAGAAAGCAGATTGGCTCTAGCAAATCCAGTATCTGCTAACTGTCCCCATGGCCGTGATGTGCTTATGCCACGCAGCCCAGTGGGACAGCCAATCTCCATGCTTTCTCGTTGTCAGCAGCTTGCCTGAGTTTGTTTTTCTTTGTTTTGTTTCAAAACAGGGCAGTGACTGATGTGCGGTGGGGGGCTGGAAATTGCATTTAGCTACCACACTAATTTCCACAAAGAAACATTGCCTTGTGGCTGTTACTAACCACTCTTTCTGTGTGTCTCTCCCCTCCCCAGACCAGAGGGTGGCATCCTTCTGCACCCTGACAGATATGCAACACGGACAAGACTTGGAGGGGGCCCAGGAGCTGCCCTTGTGTGTAGATCCAGGCAGTGGCAAAGAGTTCATGGACACAACCGGGTATGTGAGCCCCTGTGGACCCCTCCCCCCTGCTGTCCTAGGCCAGCGATTAGCAGGGATTCAGCTCAGCCCCAGCCGGGCCGAAGACCACGTTCCACCGCACCTTCCCCCAGTCCTGAGGAATCCAGAGAAGGGACTGAGGGGGCCTGGCTCAGCCTCCTTCCCTGCTGGGGTAGACAGCGCTTGGCTGCATGACCGTTCTGCCTGTGGGCAGGTCCTACCTGCCAAGACCCATGACCCCACACCCACGGTGGCAAGCCTCACTGGCGCGGAGATCGAGTGGGGGCCTCAGGGTCAGTGTCTGTTGCCTGGTTACTGCTACGGGTACCGGGCAGGAGTGCCTCGCCAATCAGCCTTCCACCTGCCAGGCCACACGTGCTGGCCTGCCAAGGGCATAATTTTCTCCCAAAACGTGGTCCTTGGTCTGGCCTCCTGTCCTCCATTGAAGTGTGTCAGAACATGCCGTCTCGTTGCCCTATATTCATCCTCCCTGAAATGTGTGTTCTTTACCAGTGTCCTTGTTCCTAATTCCAGCTTCTGTATGAAGCGAGTCACTGTTAACTTGCATGTTCACCTTGATAATGAGCCTCATAGTATGTTTATGATAGGGAAAGGCAAGTTGGGGAAGTTGAATCTATATTTGATTCCCAGGATTTCATTCTGGTCTACCCTCTGTCAGTTGGCCAAACTAATTTAAATAATCTATCTTTTGTTTTCTTACCAACCTATATATATATGTAGAGATTCTGAATCCTTTTTTTAATCAGTAGTATCCCAAGATGGGTTTTCCACCAAAGCAGCAGTATGGGCACTTTCCAAATCTGACATAATTTATCACCTTGCTGGGCTCTCTAAGCACATGAAATAATTATTTAAGCTTAACAACAAAAATGCTGAATGAAATGTCACGACTTCCCCTCTCTTGAGTCTTTCTGATTCTGTCCTTTGCTAGGGAGCGTTCTCCATCCACACTGACTGGCAAAGTCAACCAGCTGGAATTAATCCTCCGGCAACTCCAGACAGACCTTCGGAAGGTAAGGGCACGGTCAGAACTCTTTCTCTTACACAGTCAACCCCTTTTAACTATTACAAATAGGTTGAAGAGACTGAGGAAAGAAAGCTGCCCTAAGCCAAAACCAACAGTAAACAGAAACAGAGACTCCTGAGGCCTGATTCCATTTTCTGACCTGCAGCTGATACAGTTTGTTTTGGGGGGATGCGGGGACCCTGGTGGATGTGATTCAGTGAAGATGAGCCCTCTGTACAGTCCAGCCGGCAGTTGTACCAACTCTCTATAAGCTGACCTAAGATGGGTTAATAACCCCCCCTTTATTGAAAGGATTTGCTCAGTAAAATTTAGATTCAGTCAAAAGGCCGCACTCAAAGATCCAGAAGGCCACCTGTGGGCCCGAGGCCACAGGTTCCCCTGCCCTGGTTGGTTTTTGCCAGAAAGCCTGGTCTCCATGAGCTCTGTCCTCCCACTGAGTCAGCGTCACAGCCCTCAGAACTTCTGCTCAACATCAGCCTGTGCACAGCTGGTCCTCTAAAGAAGTTAAACAAACTCTCGCTGACCCACGTGTCTTGCCATCAGCATCGTGCTGGGTAGCGCTTGGCTGGCCAAGGCAAAACGGAATGGAGTGCAGTGGCCAGAGGGTGATAGGACGAGGGTGTCACAGGAAGACTTTTTTCATGGTAGTGTGGTTTTTGAAGAAGGGAGAAATCATAGCTGGTGAAACGGAGATGACAATGAGGGTGAAGAGCAAGAGAATGAATTTCTGATCTGGTGACGGGGAGGTAGCTGGCTTTGGGTAGGAGTAGGGAGCCCATACGCGTGGATGCCAGAGTAGAGCAGGGTGCGTGTGCACGCGTGGATGCCAGAGTAGAGCAGGGTATGTGTGCACGTGTGCGTATATGTGCATACATGCGTCCACATACACATAGTACTGACAGAGATGGGTGGGCGAAGCGCTCCGCTGATTGTTTCTCTTTTTTCCAGACTGGGTGGTGGGAAGGAGCACAAGAGGTTTGAGCATAGAGCGTGGGGGTGTAAAGTAGAGGGCATATTGACGGGGTGTATTTGGTAGACTGGCCAGACAAGGCCAAAGGCACATTAGAATTTGTTCCGTAAGTTAAAGTGATACCTGTTGGCCGAGTTTTGTGTTTTTCTCCAGCATGGGTGGCCAGCTGCCCCAGTTTGCCTAGGATGGAGAAGTTTTCCAAGATATGGAACTTTCAGTGCTGGAACCAGCAAAGTCCCAGGGAAGCTGGGATGGCTGGTCACCTTATCTGCAGCTATAAGTGTAGAGTTGAATTTAACCAATATTAGGGTTTAAACAGGAAATCAAGATAAGGACACAGACAAGGATCCTGGCATGTGTACACATGTGATTAAACTGAGCGCTCAGAGTCTACACTAGCTGAGGAAAAATAACGTCACTGCTGGGGGTTGCTGTTGATGGACAGTGAAAATAAGGGTAAGATTTGGTGGAGAAGATCATTATTGGAGGGGTAGATGCTGGAGAAATTATCTTTAAAAGACAACGGATGGTGGTCAAGAAGTGGGAGCTTGAAACTGTTTTAGGAAGGGGTGCAGTTACTGGCAATGGCCATGGGGTGGGGCTTAGGGAGGGCTGGGTTTGTGGGTCATCGAGAGGAGGTGGTGGAGAGGCTGAATGCCAGAGTTGGATGGAACATCTAAGTGGATCCGAAATCTTCAACAAAGACGGCAGGAGTGGGCTGGGGAGAGAAGAGTGAACCAGGTTCTATTTCCACTAACGATGGGAAGGGTCTGGGGATACAGTAGATAACTGCAGCGAGGAGGGGTGTGGGTCCCATGACCCAGTGACATGTGTCTCAGAGGAGCTGGAATTGCAGGGGGAGTGTGATCTAGACTGGGCAATGGGGGGGTTTGCCTGCTGACCTCCACAGCGAGCTGCTGGGGACGATGTCCTAGAGAGAGAGCCAGGGCTCACTTAGAGCACGGAGGTGAAGGGAATGTCAGAGGGGAGATGGGAGTGCAGAAGGTCTTCAGGACAGAGCATGAATCCCATGGGTCACAGTAGGAGGCTTCCAGGTCATGGAGAGCAGGGAAGCTGAGTTGCATGCAGCAGGGGTGCTCTGGGCCACATTGGAAGTGACTGTCATAGTGGTAGGGAATGACCAAGGAAAGCCAGGACTGGGGTGGCCTGCCATCGGTCCCTACAGGGAAGTCAGTCACCAGCTCTCATTCAGGCCGATGGTGAGGCAAGTGGTACTGGGGAGGGTCTGAGAGGGGATCAGGAAACAGGAGGAAACCTCAAGAGCAGCCCAGACATGTCACGGGTGGGAACATCCCCTAAAAAGGCCACGGTCACCAGCTCACCCCACTGAACGCTCTAGCACAGCACTGCGGGTGGTGTCTGGTTAGAGCTGGCAGTCAAGGGTGACCCATTAAAAAAATACCGATTGTTATCATCTGCCAGTGACCCCACTCTCGATTTGGGGCTAGGCATCCCTGTTGGCACTAGGGAACTGAAGCTCGTGTTGGACAGTTTCATTACTGTATATAGAAAATTCCAGATGTGATTCTTCTGAAAATGTTGGTTATTTTTACATAATTTTTAATGGCAGACTTTAGAGGTCATCATGGGAATATAGTGTAGCAGGAAAGCTCCAGATGGAATGAAAGGCCCAAGTACTTATTTTATTATAAACATGTGTAACAGCTATGTTAATACCAGTTTTGTATAGTAAGTAAGTTCTCCTGGAAAGCTCTCTGCATTTGTCAAAGGGTATTACTTTTAACCGCACTGTAGTCTCCCTTTTTTGGATAGCGGGTAATATAAACTGTGATTAATGCCCTTCCCGTATAAAGGCCATCCTGACATCCCTTGAGAGCAAAGGGGACTGAAGGGAGGGGCTGCCTGGAGTCGTTCACCCCCATCCCTTTGTATCGGGCAAGTCGCCTCACTGAAGAAAGCAAATCCCCTCCCCCTCAAAAAGTGAATAAGTAAGAATAAGAATAAGGCAGTCTTGTGCCCCAGCTTGGGCGGAGTGAACGTAGCAGTCAGTGTGCGTGACTCTGTTTCTCCTCGTGCCAGGAAAAGCAGGACAAAGCGGTTCTCCAAGCAGAGGTGCAGCACCTGAGGCAGGACAACATGAGGCTGCAGGAGGAGTCCCAGACGGCCACAGCTCAGTTGCGGAAGTTCACAGAATGGTTTTTCAACACCATCGACAAAAAGTCTTAGCCAGTCCACACCTCATCAAGGGACCATCGGGAAATGCCTATTGTCCCTTCAGAGTCACAAACATGGTTTTTCAGTGTGCTTTCAGCCAATCGTAGATGTTTTTGCCGTCCCATTCTGTGTCGCACCATTCACCCCAGTGGGCAGGGCGCCTCAACTCCTTCTTGGTGGCCATAGCGGAGAGCAGCACCCACGGGAACACGAATGTCACTCCTGTCAAGACGGTGCTCTGGCTTGGGCTTACCTCAAGAGGGAAAATAGTTGGGTTTATGTCCTATGTATCAGGTGACTTGGTAGAGACATTAAAGCAATTTACCATAGTTTGGGCTTTAGTATTGTAAAATAAACATGAAAACAAATAATCAGACATATACTTTAATGTTAAAGGTGCTCTATTTTTTTGGATGTACAGTAGTTTTATTTCCACAGCCACATTATCATAGCAATAAGAAAGGAGGCATAGTAAATAGTTGGAGAAGCTTTGTCCGGGGGGGAAAGCACTGATGTGTTTAACACTAGTTCTAATGCAGTTACTTTAGAGACTTATTTATTTGCAGGAACAAATGGTGCCTGAATATTAACAGTGTTTCGACTTAAAAAAAAAAGAGAGATACATATGCCTTGTAAATGGCTCACTGAGTTGTCAGTAGTCACTTCAACTCTTAGTTCACTTTTGTATAGTTGCTCTGCTGAAAAAAGAAAACAGAGTAAATCTGCTTACTCATAGAACCCCTGTATGCTGTGAGCCGGCGGAATCACTTGTACGATGCCAGATTTGTTTATCTTTGTACAGAAGCTTTGATGAAGTGTCTTGTATTTAACACCCTTATTTAAGCTTATTTAACCTTAAATTGTTAATTTTATAAAATTCGGTTTTACCTGCACTACGACGAGGGAGGGGAGGTAGCAGCAAGCCCAGCAAAGACTGGGCTTGCCCGGAACAGCCCGAGAACGCAGGGTGGGGAGACTCTAACAACTGGATGCTGCTAGTACGAGTTGTTTGTATTGCTTTACCATTTTTAACTGTTATATTTGAGGTGAACACACATTTTGCTTTTTTAATAAATGTTTAAAAGAAGTCCACAAAAGTAATGGTGTTGTCAGGTGAATATGGATTTTTTTTTTTTAATGATCTAATGTGTTAACAGTCTGACTGTATATGAGTTTATTTCTGGTCATTTAGGATCTTGATTTGTATTAAATGCTGTTTAACTGCCTTCTTACAGTATCCCAAACTGATTTACAGTAAAGAGTAACTCGTATTTACTAGTAGCCTGCTGTGTGCCAGACACTGTTCTCTGAGCTTTTGGTCAGTCCCATTTAATCCTAACGGCGCAATTAGTAGCCCCGTTTGTGACTGCATAAGCCATGGCTCAAGTTAAGTAATTGGCCCAAGGTTGCCTTTTTTTATAATTACTATCTTATTCAACAAAGAATCTGGTTACAAGAAAATACAATAAAATAGTAAGAATGTGAAAACCAGCCAAGAAGAGGTAAACCGTAAATGCAATTCAAAAGTAAGACAGAAAGAAGATAGCATGGACCCCAGTGAGAAGGGAAACACTGGGAGGTACATTGCTCTCAACCTTCGGAGGACAGAGAGCATATCGAGAGTTTAGAAGAAGCAAAGTGATTCTTGGAATTGCCCTGGAAGGAGGTTCCCATGCAGGCTTGACATGAGAGGTGTACTGGATAGTTAACTGTCCTGTCATGGACGTGCAGTAGGCCTCCTAAGGCTTTGCTTGTAGCCGCTCTCCATGAAACACACAGGCACGCCTCCAAAACGCACCCAGGGAGTAAGGACTTGCGTCATCATCCTCACTCCTTTCCGTATTGCCACCATGTGCCAGGCACTGTGCTAGGAGCTAGAGATCCAACAGTGATGAGCAAAAATCACAGTCCCTGTCTTCACTGGCATCCGGTCACTATGGGGTGACAGACATAAGATCACTTCAAAACATGGAAGATGGAAATAGAGTGCCTGGATGGGCTGACTTGATTATTCTAAGCACTGACATCACTGGAACAGTTGCTGGTTGCCGGCTGCTGTTCTGAGCCCTTTGTTCTCTATGCAGCACCCCTGTGCGGTGGGCGCAGAAACCGCTCCCTCTGTGGAGATGAGACAGGGTGGCCCATGGGTAGGGCTGTGGTCCAGGTAGAGAGGACACGGGGTTCTACGGCTCCCGGGCTCAGTGTGTTCAAGAAATCTAACTTAAGCCCATTATCCAAAGTGGGGCACCACAAGAGCAGAACGGGATCCATTTGTACTCACCATCAAATTGGTATTAACTAATCAACACATAAATGCACATATAAGAATAACATCTATTGGATGTTGGGCAGGGAGGAGGGGGGAGGAGGAAGGAGGGGACGGGTATTTGTATACACAAGGAGTGCAATGCACACCACCCGAAGGATGGACATATTTGAAACACGGACCTGGGGGCGGGGGGGACCAAGGGCAACATACGTAACCTAAACATCTGTACCCCCATAATATGCTGAAATGAAAAAAAAAAAAAATCTGTCAGAAGCCAGGAGGTTTAGGGAAGGGCAGGGTTGTAGGGGATGGGCCTTAGGAGTAAGGGCCACATTGTGAAGGAACCCGTGGCCATGGTAGGGTTTGGATTTTGTCCTAAGTCAAAAGGAAGCCACTGAAGCAGGAAAGCAACCTCATGTGAGCACTATTTTAAATGAGTTATTCTGGCTCCTAAAGGGGACTGGATTATCCAGATCTTTAAACTTTTTCTGTCTAGGACACATAGTAAATACTTCAGGCTTTGGGAGTCGTATACTAACTCTGTATATTTTTAAATTTCCATTTACTACCCTTTAAAGACGGTAAGAGCCATTCTTAGCTCGCAAGGCCACACAAAAACAGGCCACCCCTCAGCATGGTTTGCTAACCCCAGGTACTAGCAAAGAGTAGGTGAGGAAGACCGGCCTAGGTGAGCGATGGTGCCGGTGTGGCCTGCAGGGAGGCGGTGAGGGGAAGAAGTGTGCAGGCCACACGTGAGAGTGGGTTTGGAGGTAGAGCCCACAGAGCTGCTGATGGGATAGACAGGAGGGAAAGGCTGGATCTAGGGATAAGCCCTGAACTTCAGAGGAATTAATGAACTGCATGTTTTTCAGACGGTTTTCCATAAATATTTCTCGCCTTTAGTAAAAGCTTAACAAAAGACAGTTGTCCTGGCAAGGGCCTGGAGCATAGTATCACTGATCCGTATCACTGATCAAGGGAGGATGCCTTTGCTTTCGAAAGCAGCTAACCAGGTGGAAAGGCTGACACTGTTTAGAGAAAGTAAAGGCATCTGACCACAACCTAGCTGAGTGGAAAACCATCCCAGCAGCCTAAGGTGTACCTGTGGACAAGACCAGAAAGCATTTTCTGAAAACACTGTTCTCAGTCTCTACTGGCAAAAGAATGAATACTCCCTCAAGTCTGTCTCCAAAGGGCCATGCCAAAAGACAAGGCCAAAATGACTTTGGTCTCTTAAACTTTTTAAAACAGATGTTTCCAGTCAACAATGAAGCCGTAGAAAAATCCCCTTCCTGCTCCCACAGGACACACAGTTTTGAGCAACTTGGCATCCTGGTGAACACTGTTGCAAAATGTACCCCCTTAACTGAACATGTTGGCTTGCTATGAGGACTTACTGGATATGAACTAAATATATTGGAATAGAACTGCTAAAAAGTTTTATTTTAGAATAAGGTTTGTTTTTCTAACCACACGGAATGAACTGTTATGTATTAATATTAAGGACATTTTAGTATGTGACAAAGTTAATTAGCATATTAGAGGCTTTTATCCTATTCTCTGTATCAGGGAGAAAGCTTATTAAAAATAAAAGTTACAGTTGAGGGGGATAACAATACGGTCCTGCCTTTGCTGCTCACGATTATCTTTTTAAATGGCAGGAGTCTGTTGTCCTGCTAGCCACTAACATGCAGGATTTGATTACATGTCATTAACCAGGAGTCTTTAAACTCATGAAGCCGTAAACCATAGCTGCTTGTCTGCACAGCCAAAGATCAAAGAGATAGCTATAAAAACAGTAAGAACAAAAACCTATAATAATATCAGTGAGTACTTGAACAGGAAAATCACTTGCTCCTTGCGTAAAATATTGGCCTGAAAAACCTGCAACTGTCCTTTAGGGAAAGAATTGGCATAGAATTTAGACACTCGTGCATTCTCTAGTTTTAGAGAAGATGGGACTATAACCTCTTGGAGAGTCAACGCTTGTTTCCAACCAGATGTAAGGTCTGCATCACCAGAAACGAGCCACCCTCTACCACAGCAATCACCGCTTTTCCGTGAAATACATCTGTGCGAACCTAAGAGACAAAGGCCTACCACTTTTAGTACCAACCACTGGAAATCATTAAATAGTCTCAGATCCTCTGAAATCAAGCCGGTGTTTGTTCTTCAGAATTTCCAAATTGGGGGGTGGGAGGAGGTGATAAAATTATTGCAAACACTTTGCTCCTTTGAATGACTGGTTGGCAAAAAACAAGTTCAGTTCATTTGAGTGTCTGTGGATTTTGTGCTTCTAAGTCTAAAACCACTTCCCTAGTTCTAGTGTAAGCAATTCAGGCATGCTGCTCACCCCCAGAAAAGAAAGTAGATAGAGTTGAATGGGTTTAGTTCAACACCTGTTGACAGTCAGATAAGAGGTAAATATGTTTGTTCATGACCCACAGGAGGGAAAATGGTAACAGACCTGCCGAAACCCAAGGAATGCCTTAGGTTTCTGACCTATGACCTCCATATTAAACCAAAGGCCAAGCTTCGTGACATTTAATAATAGGAATTAGGCAGAAACTTAAGCACAAAGAAAGTTTTCTCCTTGTGTATTTTATAAAAGGTTTAAATGAGCATCATGCCCAAATGTCACATTCTTGCATTTGACACGCAAGATTTGGGGACTTTTAAGTTGCTAAAATGACAAAAAAACACTAATGAATCCTGCAAGCCTTCTCCAATTCTTTTTAATGCCAGGAGATGTACCGTGCTCTTAAATCCCTAATATATCAAAGTTTTTATTCATCTATTAGCATCTGCAGACACTGGAAACATAACTGACCTCTGTTTTTCATCTCTAATATCGGTGACCTGCCTAAAATTTGCAGAGCAGCCTGGTTTTTCAGAAGAGCAAATGAAAAATAATGAGTCCCCTGACGTGCAAATACTGTTGGCTGCTAAGCTATGGCTGAGTTGGTAAAAAACAAAATGAAGGGGAAGACTCCCGTGTCCCGGCCATCAGTGCCCATCCATCAGGCTCTTGAGCACTGGTGTTGCAAGTCTTGTTTTAGTATCAGCTGCTCTCCCAGCCGTCCTGTGATCCAGTGAAAGCCATGAGTGAGGCTGTGTGCAGGAGAGGGGTTCAAAGAGGTGGCACGTCAGTGAATTATCTGCCTGGACTAAATCGGTGCTGGCTATAAATACACATCTGCAGGTGGAGACTTCAGACCCTGGCAGAGTCTCCTCCATCACTGTGTATAAAATAAATTGGGCCTGGGCATCTGGGTCCTTACCCCTCTTCCCCACGACCATAATCGGTGCCAAAGCAAGCAGACCCAGCTGAGAGCTCCATTAAATTGGGGTAATTAGACACGGCAGTCCTGCTGCTCTAGGAGCTGATTAAACGCCCTGCGGAACCCCATCTGGGCGCGGGGCTGCCAAGCAGCAGCTACAGCCCACGATCCCCACTTGCAGGATTATGAAATTCCCAAAATGGGCATTCTATATCCTTTTAAATTGAGTACTTGAGAACATAGCACTGCTCAGAAAAGGAAGTGCACGTACCTGTAACGGGGCACGGACGTCAGGGGGTTTAACCCTCCAACTTCAACTGGATTCTTTCTCATTTTTACTCATGAACTATTTGAAGGTCGTTATTCTGCCAGTGTCATCTTTAAAACTTCATTTCTGATGATTGTGAAGAGGGCACTTAGAGAGAGGACTGGTAGGACGTGGTTAATGACACTGGCATTTGCAGGCCACACTGCTGATATTAACTGAATTGTTGAAGTGAGCTCTGAAGCCGAGTTTTCCTCCCTAATTTAACAGATTCTTCTTCCGT